CGGAGTTTCACCGACTCATCATACATGCATATATCATCATCCATCATGATGGGGAGGGGAGGGGGTTTGGCAATCATTGCACGGGTGGAGCATTATTTTTTCTCAGTATGCCAGGGATGTGAACACTATGCCTCATGGATGTATGTTTGTGAGGGGATGAGCGATGCCATCCTCACCTGCACATCACACATCTCGTGGGGGTTCGTGGTGACCATCTATGGATAAACTCAAACACTCGTCATTCCCGCTTGACTTTTTATAAGACGAAGGGAGGTCGATCATTCCATTAGGAGTATCGTAAACAACAAGGAAAAGAGGGGGGAGGAAGAAAGGAGGCAGCGGGAGAAAAGAAAAAAAGAAAGAAAAAAGAAAGAAAAAAGAAAAAAGGAAAAAGCAAAAAGAAAGAAAAAAGAAAAAATGCATAGAAAAGCAACCAATCCAGAATGAGGCAATCATCACACCAAATTTAGGACACTATAGCATATGCGCAAACTGAATGTCATTTACAAGATCATGCATCCCACATGTCATCGTCCCTTCATCCAGTAGCACAATTTATCGTTGAGAGGGCCACAACGATGTCAGACCAAGAACATTACCTACTTCTACAAAGTTCTCCCATAGAAGGTAGGGGGGCGGGAAGATATAGTGCATGCATCGCAGTCCAGCCAAATCGTGAAAGTGCAAGCTAGTTGCTGCCAATCTACACACATGCAGGAGGGGGTGGCAGTCCCTGAAGCGCTTTTCATAGCTCGCCACGCGATTCATCAGAGGGGTAACCTGCAAACACAATCAGTCCGGGTATGCGCTGGAGGGGTTGCACAGGGAGGGAGCAGATGAAAAACAGAAATGCCAGAAGAGCAAGCAGCGCTAGGAAGGCCGCAAAACAAAACGCAAGTATTTCCCAAGTATTCCCCCTGCCATCTGCCAACCGAAGAGGAGGAGCATCCCACGCCTCCCTATCCTTATCCATGCGTGACAACATAGAAGGGGGTGAGCTGGAGGAGGAGGATAAAGCAGCGCGAGGTCGGCGCAAGGGGATACACGCAGAGATTGAGATAGACGGGGGGAGGAGAGAAGCGTTCAATTCCAGGGAGGGGGGCATGACCGCCTATACTCGGATGACACAAAGTTTGGCGATGGAGTCGCCCGGTCAGAAGTATACCGTGCCCTCTGCCTGTGGCTGCTCCCGGATGTAGTCCGGACCCACTGGGAAGTCCATTGCCGCTCGTAGGTCGCTCTGACGAAACAGGAGGAGATCACTGCCTCTTCGCACACCCGCCCAGGCCGATACCACACAATCCACTGTACACCACTTCGCCGGAATCGTCCCAACACCACCTCCCCTATCCCCGTGGTAGTAGCTACCCGCAGTCTATGAATCCCCCCCGGCGGCGGCCATCCACGGCCAAGTCCGTGGCTGCGGACTAGGCCTCGACCCCGCGGACGTGTCCGCTCGGCCGCGCGGCCTTTGAGGCCACGTGGCGGCCAGAGGGGAGGGGGGTTCGGGATTCGGGAAGCGCCATGGGGTGGCGCATCCCCAGCCCCACCCCCTCAAAGAAAAAAAAAACTATTTTTTGTGGGGGGGGGTTGGGCGTGTGAAGGTATTTCTAAAAAAAAATAATAATAATAATAGCGCATTTTTATTTTTTTTTTCCCCCCGTTGATTGATTGATTGATTGATTGATTGATTGGCCCCACAGGCGCACACACACACACACACATAGGTAGGATTGTATATTCTCATGTTCTAGCGGAAGATTCATTCGATTTTGCTTTTTTTTTTTTTTTTTCGTTGATTGATTGATTAGTGGGAGCGGGGTCGCCCCCCCATCCCCAACAGGCCCACACAC